GACCCCAAACACACACACATGCACACATGTGCACACACACACACACACACACGCAAAAAGACAGTTAATCAACTGAAAGTGTTTCCTTCATTTCTGATCTAGAATTTCAACTTGTTAACAAGCAATAAAAAGGAGCAAGTTTTTAGAGACTTATCTTACAAGATGTATTTTATAAAAATTAAAGAAAATAAATTAAAATTAAGAACATTCTGAACAAGATATATGTCTATCTGTCCATTTGTTGTTCTGGCATTTCCATCTCCCCCTGGCCAAAAAAAAAGCAGGGAAGGGGGGGCTGCAGAGGAGAACGTCCCAGAGAAGTAGTGCTTGCTAGCCCCACGTGTGGGCCAGCAGCCACAGGACTCTGCCCACCCCTCCTTCTCACCCCAGCCATGAAGTTCATAACCTTGACTTCAAAATCTTTGTTCCTAGCAGGTGAGCCCTTAAAACCACTGTTTCTCCTCCAGCCACCCTGAAGAAAGCTGGGGTCTTGTAGGAGCCTCTTGTGTTTGGTGATGTGCTGCTGCCCTTTAATACTCAGCCTGTGTGGTGACAGCCTCTGCCACGTCTCCTAATGTAGCACCTACAGCATGACCACAGCAAAACTAATTGGCACAGCTCAAGCAAAGCTTGCCGACTCACATCAGGCAATGCATGTGGTAAGAGCACATCCAGAGCCATGCAGGATTCTCTCACTTGCAGAGAGCCCTGTGTGAAATGGAATGGTCTTGCTTAGCACAAGGACTCTACATGTCCTGTCGTGTGCTCTGTGGATGGCTGCATGCCATCTGCTGCAGGGTTGTTAACAGTTTGCACAGTGCTGGTGTGTGTGGAGGTCATCAGCTGAAGTCTTTCTGCCCATGATCAGATGAACACTGCCCTTAGACGCACGTTTCCACAGCAGCTACTCAAAAATAATCAATTCAAATGTTGCTTCTCTTAGAAATTCTCCCCCAGGAGCTGTGCCCAGGAGTCTCTTGGGGTGAGGCCACAGAAGGATGCTCCCAGCCCCATGGTCAAATCCTGGCACTGCTCCTGTTTGCAGCTGATGTGCCCAATAACCAGATTTCAGGCACAGCTAGATGCCTGTGAGCGGCAGGGTGGGCTGAAAGCCGGCAGGCTGTTACCTACCCATGGCCAGAACCCTCACTCTCTCCCCTGGCCTCAGCCCCCTCTGGGCAAGCAGCAAGGCTTCCCATGCAGCCTGGCCAGGGGAGGTTTAGCTCATGCATTGCTGCTGCCCCAGCTCAGTGCACAGCTGCGCCTGCACCCCCGACCTTGCCCCAGCTCACAGAAACCCATGGGGCTGCAGCCAGCATCAATGGGGCCCTTTGTTCCCTGCATTCCCAGATGCCATCACCCTCCTCTCCCCATGCTGAAAGGGCCCTGTGTGTGCACAATCAGCCACTGGGCAGGAGCAAGCTGGGGAACAAAACACCATCTCTTTCCCCTGGCAGAGACTGGTGCCCCCTGGCCAGGGTGAGGACTGGGGACAGCAGCGCGAGGTAGCGTGTGAAAGCGGCCAGCATAGCCAGGACATTGGGCAAGTCCAAGGGCCAAAGGACACGTGTAGCCTCTTGTCAGGTGTGCCCTTGGCTGTGTTCTGCTGCCACCCCACCCGGGGACATGGGACATGCCCTCCCAGCTCCTTTGCTGGGCACCCAGTGCCCTCCAGGAACTGGCAGAGAAAAGACAGGAAATAAACCCTGCCGGGTACCAAAGCACATCTCCATAAGCTGGCTCACCACAGGAGCTCCAAGGAGGAGAGCCAGTGCAATCAAACGCTTTCTCCCTGTCTAGAGACTGAAACATGGCTGCAGTTTGCTCCCACAAAGGCTGGACCAGAGAAAGGCACCCTGGAGCAGGTCCCATGGGCTGCCTTGCTGGCAAGCAGGCAAGGCAACTCCCGCCCCTTCATCCCACTCCCTGCCACAGGGAGACGACCCTGTGCCGCTGCCAGCAAGCGACGCTGGGCAAGCAGATCCTTGGGACGGTGAAGACAGAAACCTCCCCTGCACAGGGAAAGGAGAGAGGAGGGGAAGGCGGCACCCAAGGGTATTCGTG